TAATAATAATAATAATAATATATTTAATGATGATCATAATGATAATAATAATCATTATAATAATGGTTATAATGATTAAAAATCAAATGTTTATGTTACTGACAACGATAATAATAATAATGGTGATAGTGATGATCATGACGATTATGACAGTGATTCTTATGATGGTGACGCCGATAATGTTAACAATCATTAGAATAATACTAATAATAATAGATATAATCGTGATGGTTATAATAATGATAATGCTGATGAAAAAAACCATAATAATGACTGTGATAGTGATTATGGCGATGACAATAATAACCATAATAATGATCATGGTGATGCTCATTATAATAGTAATGTTAATGATAGCTACAATTATGATAATGATGATAATAATAATAATAATTACATTGATGATCATGATAATAATAATTATAATGATAATGGTCATGATAAAAATGATAATAATAAGAATAATAATGTATACGTCGATATTCATAATGATGGTAATAACTATAGTGATAGTAATAAAAAAGGAAGTAATATTACTTATAGTTATTTTGAAAATGGAGATGATGATAATATTATAGTAATAGGAATGATGATTTTGATGATAATAATAAAGATAATGTTAATCATTGTAATAATAACAAAGGTGATGATGATAATGACTATATTGATAAAAATAATGATAATGATGATATTTAAAATGTTAATGATGATGATAATGATCATAAGATAATGACAATAAGAATAGTGATGATAATGATTATGATGATGACGGTAATAATTAGGATGATGACGATATTGATTATGATGATTATAATAATTATGATGATTATTATGTTGATAGTAGTGATAATAATGGTAATGAGAGTAATTTCAGAGATAAAATATCATGAACGATAATAGAGATAATAATAATGGTAATAATAATAGTGATAATAATGCTGATTACATTGATTATTATTATGATCATAATGATGTTGATAATGAATATGCTGGTGATCATAGTGATGATGATAATAATGGTAATGATAATGATAATGATAGTGGTATTGGTTATGTGACTAATGATAATGATAATAGTGCTTATTGTGATAGTGATGATAATGATGATGATTATAATAAAGATAATGATACTCATGAACATGATAATTATGTTATTGATAATGGTGATGATAAGAACTATAATTGTCATGATCCTAATTCTTATGGTAATGATAATAACAATAGTAATGATATTAATTTTTTTTTATATAATTATTATGAAAATAATAATGATTATAGTAATAAAAATTATAATGATAATACTATTTAGAACAGTAATGATAATAATAGCAATGATAATGATAGTGACTTTAATAATAATGATGACCATGATAATGGTAATGGTGATGATAGTTACTGTAATAATGGTAATTATGATGTTATTCAAAATAATAATAACTATGGTGATAATGATAATGATGACGGTGACAGTATTATTAATAATTGTGACAATAATGACGATAATAATAAAAATAATGATGATAATGATTACAATGATAATAATAATAATAATGATTATGATGATGATGGTAATGATGATAATGATAAAAAAAAGGATGATAATGATGACGTCAATATTCATGCTGGTCATTGTGATAATGAGGATAATAGTAATAATAATAATTATGGTGATAGTAATGGAGAAGATAGTAATATAAGTTATATTTATTTTGATTATAAAAACTATTATAATATTATAGTGATAGGATTATTGATTTAAATAATGATAATGATAATTATGTTAATAATTGTATTAATGACGAAGGTGATAATGATAATGACAATTTATATAAGAATAATGATGATGATAATGTTTTCAAAGATAATGATAATAATAATGATAATGGCAATAATGATCATGATGATGATGATGTTGATAATGATTATGATAATAGTCATAATGATGATGGTTATGATGGGGAAAATAATGATAAAGATAATGGTGATGGTTATGTAAATAATGATAATAATAATAGTGTTAAAAATGATCGTAATAATAATGGTGATGATTGTAATCAAGATAATGATACTTATGAAAATAATAACTACGCTTCTTATGATGGTCATACTGAAGACTATGATCATAACGTTAATAATATAAGTGATAATGATAATTATAATCATGATAATGATGATTTTTGGAAAAATAATGATAATGAAAATAATAATCATAATAATAATCATAACATTAATAAAAATAATAATTATAATAGTAATAATAGCGATAGCAATAAGAATAATAATGACTCTTATAATAATGATGACAGTGATAATAGCAATCGTAATAAAAGAAATTGTAATTATGGTGATCGTAATAATAATGGCAACTAAAATAATTAAAACTATAGTGATTCTGAGAATGATGACAGTAACATCATTAATAATAATAGTGATAATAATGACGATGATAATGAAGACGATGATGATGATGATAATGATGATGACAACGATAATGATGATAATGGTGATAATGATGATGGTAATGGTGATGATAATAAATAGGATAATAATAGTAATAATAATAATGGTAATGACAATTATAATATTCACAACAATAATAATAATAATGATGATGATAATAATTTTAATGATGATAAGGGTTTTGATAATAATATTGATNAGGCCGCTCAAAGCGACACAAACACGCTCCTTCGAAAGGCCTAACAACTGCACGACCGACTCTGATACGAAGGACGCCTCGGAGCCCTGATCCAAAAGGGCGCAAACGACGGTGCTATCTCCAGCTGGACCCACCACCGTCACTCTAGCAGTAGCCAAAAAGACTCCGCGACTCAACGTCGCAATCGCGGACGCATGCAGCGCTACAGCAGCCGCGCCGACCCTGGACCCCACGCCCTGACCGCCGCCCGATCCCTGCTGCTATGAACCACTCGAATTCTGCCGTTCAGATTTTTCTGGAGGCTTGAGGTGAAGCATCGAGTGGTGCTTGCCTCCCCAACTGGTACAACGCCCCAAAGAAGGGCACGCGTTAGCCTTATGCGACCCGAGGCAATTAAAGTAGGCCTGTAGCCGACGCGCCGTCGAGTATCGGTCATGCGGAGCCTTCTCCTTCATTTTAGTGCACTTCCACAGTGGGTGCGCTCCCGAGCACAAGAGGCACCTCGAAGAAGCAGATTGCTGAGTCGCGCCCGCGTGAAAAACTTTCCGAGCCTGCGCCGGTGCCGAGCCAGACACCGGTCTCTTTTTCGCCTATCTATCCGTCGAAATCATGCCAAGAGCCTGGGCTCTCTTTTCCAAAAATCGAACTAAATCAGAATACTTCGGCTGAGAATTAAGGGCATCCGGCCCGTCAGGGCTCCCGTCTGCGCTATCCTCCAAATCTCTAGCGCTGAGCTCGGCCTCCCACAATTTTCGTGACTCCGCATCCAACCGATCAGCCAGTCAAAATACTAGCCACACGTTCCAGTGCCCGACTGGCAATTGCAAGTTTTCCAAAGCCCGAACAATACGCTGCGATTCATCAACGAACGCTCGCATGGTAGTCGCCGGCTCTACTCTCGTGCTCGGAATCTCCATGAATGACCTAAGTAGCTTGTTGACTATTAAGCGCGGGTTATTGTACCGAGTCCTCAACGCTTTCCATGTACCCACGTAATTCGCGTTCGTTGTCGACACGTCCCTGATGAGCTCCGCGGCCCCGCCCGTCAAGCACAACTTCAAGTATTGAAGCTTCGTGGCGTCTGATAAGCGGGAGTCATTATGCACCAGCGAAGTGAATAAATCGCAGAAGCTCGCCCATTCTTCGTATGCGCCCGAAAAGGTAGGCAGCGGGAGTCGAGGCAGCCTCACGACACGCGACTCCGAGCCCGCATCTGAAATGCTGCTATCAGCGTCCTTTTCGAAAGGGGCAAGCATCATAAGCATCTCGTCCAAAGAACCCTCATACACGCCCTGCATACGCTCGAACAATTTATCCGTGATGTACGCGTCCGCCTCAACATCATCTCGAATGACTATATCCGCGTTGGTTTTTCGCGCCTCAGTCCATACCTCCTTGATGGCATCGAGTCGGGCCTTCACAATGTCTCTCGTAAGTGACTCACGTGGCTTCGCGATCAATCGCTCGTGGATGCTTTTTATTTTAGCCTCGCGGGCCGCCTGCTTTCTCAGAGCTACGGGTGCCATTGTGCACTCTATTCCGACCTCAGACGAATTTACTCGCGCACAATAAAGTATCTCAATAACACGAGAATCGAGAACGAAAAGGACGACAGGGTAAGACACGTCTTATTAAGAAAGTTCGTTGCCGAGTGAATGGCGATGACCGACGACGAGCAGACACGCGCGCGCAAGGCCCGTTGACCTTCACAACTGCAATATAAACACAAGCCGTGCCGTAATACAGCGCGTTCGCACTGCAACTCAGCCTATGATACTACTTGACCCGAGTTCAATAAATCAAAACAAGTCGAGTCTAGATTTGGAAGCTTCTCGAAGATTCTCCAAGCAGCATCTCCTTTGTAATTCTAAGAACAAGCCGTTGCAATGCAAACGCTCTTTTTACATACCGAAATATATGGATTACAATGAAATGCGCAAATTAACTAAAGTACGCTACTAAAGAACCTCGCACTCACTCCTCACCCGGGGCACCATGAACAAGGTCAACTCTCCTTTGAGACAACGCGAACATATGCAGCCGATTTATAATATTCAGGGTGATAAAATGTAGGATGGATGAGTGAGAGCGGGTTCTTTTATAAATAAAAAACAACAATTATTCGCGGAACGACACTACTTACCTAGGCATAAAACTCTCGCGGATTGAGAGAAAGCCGGGGTAAGTGTAAGTCAATAAAAGGTACAGAACAATTATAATTGTAAGAAATAAGTAACCTTAATGCTACGCCTTACACGCTTCGCTCGCAACGTGACAAGATAACGCGCTACACGATTCGCGAGGATCCTTTATTACCTAAAGAGAGCTCTCTTACCTCAGTTGCGCCGTCCGTAATAAATACTCCAACACCGCACCGCGGAGGATGGGTGTCGAGGAAGTGCCGCAGGGGGCTCGGGAGCGCACAGGAGATTCGAGACCTGGCTGTCCAAGCGCGTCCCGACGTCTCGAGCTGCCAAACGCTTGGACGACGGGCAACACTCTGTTGCCGCGTTGCGCTCACCGTAAAAGATCACGATTACCCGTGGACACCTTCTCCCACCGAGTAACACCAAAACCACACACGCTTCACTCACACTACTATTCTATCCCAGCGCCTGGGCACTCGTATACATTTGTTGGTTATTCGATTAATTAGTCGCACGCTCGCTTACAATACAACACGCGGGACGCCGAAAATGCCTCTCCCGCAGTTGAGACGCTAATCATCAAGGCCCGCGCGGCCTGTTGCGCCATAGAGAAAAACAGGTGGCGCGGCGAAAACTCAGCTCTCAAAAAGGTGACGGCGCGTCAAGGGAGTGAAAAGGATAGCGCACTAATTGCTTCGGTAAATTAAGACGCAGAGCACGCGGGTCACAAAACGCCCGAACATCCCGCCCGCCTTCGTCCGGCGGACGAACCAACACTCGACAACAAATCTACATTGTCGTGGTATCTTTCTCCATATACAACGGGCACACACGAGCCACATGACGACGAAGCGACGTCGTGGCCGTCTTCACCGTGACCACTCTCACGAGACTGTCCGGGCCCGGGTGGACGTCAGTTACTCTGCCTAAGGGCCATTTTGACGGGGGGTAACGATCGTCTTTTACGAGAACCAGCCTTCCTACACAGAAGTTTTCCGTTGGCTCTCTCCATTTCTCTCGCTGTTGCAAATGAAGCAGGTATTCGGACGACCAACGCTTCCAAAACAAGTTTCGGATCCTCTGGAGCAATTGATAGCGGTCCAGTCGATTCTGCGGGACATCTGTCAGATTGGCATCAGGAAGCAGGGTCGAAGCACACCCATGCAAAAAATGAGAGGGGGTCAGCGCCTGCAAGTCGTCCACGTCCGCGCTCAAAGTTCCCAACGGCCGTGAATTGAGACACGCCTCAATTTCCACCAGGACCGTCGACAACTCCTCAAAGGTGAGCATGTGCTCGCCCACCACCCTTTTTAGGTGATGTTTTACCGATTTAACTCCTGCTTTCCACAACCCGCCGTAATGTGGGGCGCTCGGGGGTATGAAATTCCAGTCCGTCCCATCGTTCGCGAGAACAGGGGCGAGTTTATTATAAAATTCAGACGCGCGCTGAAACATTGATGCTAGCTCTGTGTCTGCTCCATGAAAATTAGTTGCGTTGTCGCTGTAGAGCTTTCGGCAGACTCCACGCCTACCCACAAACCGACGATAAGCGCTGAGGAAGGAAGCCGATGTAAGATCGCTGACAAGCTCGAGATGTATGGCCCGCGTAGAAAAGCACACAAAAACGACAATGTACCCTTTATATGACTTGTGCCCGCGGCCCTTTGTGGCACGTACTTGAATCGGACCCGCGTAATCCAATCCTGTCACTAAAAACGGCCTGCCCGCGGTGACTCGATCTGCTGGAAGCTCCCCCATTAATTGCTGGGTCGACTGTGGTTTGACGCGCTGACAGATCAGACATTTACGGACTACCGTCTTTACCAACTTATTTCTACCCAAGATCCAAACGTGCTGCATTAACAGGCTGGAAGTCAAGGTGGGGCCACCATGCAGGCAATGTTGATGAGCATAACGCGTAAATAAAAGGCTGAGATTGGAGTTTTGCGCCAAAATCGACGGGTGCTTGCTCTCGAAAGAAAGAGTCGAATGTTCCAGTCGCCCTCCCACGCGCAAAATACCATCTCTGTCAAGAAAAGGGTTAAGCTTACTAAGTCGACCGCGTTTCGGCAAGCTCTTGCCCTCTCTCAGCAATTTTAACTCACCGGCGAAGCTACTATCCTGTGATAGTTTGATGACACTTTTACGCGAATCCGCCAACTCGGATGCCGTAAGAAACGGTGGGAATGGCTCCATCTTCTTTTTACGCCCACGCAGTATGAGCATTGGACGCCTGCAGTATGCGACTACGCGAATTAAACGGGTCAGCGAAGAAAATCTCGTCAACAAATCCGACTCGGACGGCAACTGACGAACGTGAGCGACTCGGCGACTTTCCGCTGCCTCCGGCCACTGCTCCGGAGCCTCAGCGAGCCATCGAGGCCCGTGCCACCACTGCCCATTCTCCGCCAACTCTATAGGATCGGCTCCTCGTGTCGCCAAGTCAGCCGGATTTTCCTTTGTCGGCACGTGCCTCCAAGTTGCAGAGGGCAACTCCGTCTGGATGAACGACACCCTATTTGCAACAAAGGTTTTCCAAGAACAGGGGTGCCTGCGCAGCCACATAAGCACAATCTGGCTGTCGGACCAAGCGAAGACCGGAGCTGTTTTAAGAAAGTCCAGTTTCATCAAGTGGCCAATCAACCTAACAAGCAGAGCGGCGCCGCAAAGCTCTAAGTTCGGTATACTGACGGTCTTTACCGGAGCGACCTTCGTCTTTGCGGCTAACAGTGACACCTTAATATGTCGGTCCCCTCCATCCACGCGCAGATATACGGCGGCCGCGAAGGCCCGCGATGACGCGTCAGAGAATCCGTGAATTTGTAATGAGCAATTACCTGCAACGCCCAACCATCTGTCGACTGCCAGCGACGGCAGATTGGCCAATGACTTGCAGTATTCGTACCAACGCTCGCGAATCTCCGCCGGTAGAGGAGAATCCCAATCGCATTTTTGAATCCACAGATCCTGCATTAAGATTTTCGCTCCTACTGTCACCGGGGACAGCCAGCCAAGCGGATCGAATAGTCGAGCAATGTTTGAGAGAACCGTCCGCTTCGTGGAGGCAGCTGACAATTCTGCGACGTCTCTACAACTAAATCTAAATTGATCGTGAGCCGGACTCCAATGCACGCCGAGTGTTTTTACTGACTGGTCCTCGTCGATTTGTTTTACGTCCTCCTGCGCTAGTCGAGGAGGGATAAGCTCTGGGTGATTTGCGGCCCATTTATCTAGTGATATCCCGGCGCAACCCAGCAGCTTAACGAGCTCGTTCCTTTTTTGCAGCGCGTCCGTCAGTTCATCGGCCCCGGCGAACGTGTCGTCGACGTATGTTTCAGTGCTGAGACATGCCGCTCCCAGCGGAAACCGCGAGCCCTCATCCTCGGTCAATTGTAACAGAGTTCGTATCGCCAAAAAGGGCGCGCATGCCGTGCCGTACGTGACCGTAGTTAAGCGGTAATCTCGTGGGACAGAGTCCGGGTTAGGCGCCCACACAATTCTCTGTCGATCCTGGTCCTCCGGCT